GAGCCCGATGCGGGACTCGATCCCGGGACTCCAGGATCATGACCTGAGCCGAAGGCAGTCGCCTAACCAACTGAGCCACCCAGGCGCCCAACTTATGCATATTTATAATGTGAGAAGATTCACTGCAACGTTTATTCAGAGTCCGATAAAACCCTTACCTTGTTTAAAAATGCCTGTGGTGCTGTCGCTGGATCGTAGGGCATGTGGGCCACACTGCTGGGCGGTGGCTCCGGCTGGCACTGGTACAGGGACATGGCCCCGGCATAACAGGCCTGAGGACTTACTGTGGTTGACTCTGGAGTCAGTCCATGGGTTTGGTTTTCAGGAACTTGTAAACATGTGACAAAATCTTCTAAATTATTAGTAGGGTATGGGGATGGTTCAAAATTCCCTATGGGAAAGCCTAACTGTGTCCCGTTGGAATGCTGTGGTAACACAGGCTGATGACAGGGAATAAAGGTCTGTGTGTATGGCACAGGATTGCTCTCAGGTGTGTAGGGAAACGCTTCGCTGGTGCCAGGGACGTCTGAAAAGACACTATACTGCTGCAGATCTTGCTGAGGACAACTCCGAGGTACGGACGGGTGAGGGTTCCAGGTGGCAAACATGCTGTTAACTTGCATATGCTGCATTTTCTGACACAGCTGTGCCCGCTCCACGGCTCCGTGCTCTGGGCGGTGCTGCGGCTGTTCGAACTGCAGGGGCTCCTGCACCACACAGCTCGAGGCCAGAGCCAGGGACTGTGGCTGCGGGTAGTCTGAACACCCGACGGTGGGCTTGCTTAAAGAATCTTGGACGTAGGTCAGGATTTCATCTGTTAGGTCAATATCTCGGAAGTCATCCTCAACCGAAAAGTCAGTTCTGAAAAATTCCTCATTCTGTTGCATGTGTTTGATATCTTCAAACTCAATGCCTAGCTGTTTCATAATGCCATACAAGTCACTATTTCTGTTGTCTGGAAAGAGCCCTGTCGGACCTCCAGAGAGTGTTGGGTTCATTTCCCGAGAATGATCTATTTCCTCATGTTTCAGGATACCGTCACTTCCCATTGGTGCGATATTGTCTTGCCAATTACTGCATTCATTCACAGGTTCATTAAAAAGATTTCTTTCAAACGGGGTGCTACCTGAGGCGGGATAGAGATAAATAGACTCATCCTGTTGCATGATGGCAGCCAGGAGGGAACTGGGATTGAGAGAATCCTTATTGAGAGCTGATTTGGTAGCAGAATCTATCCCACTTGTACCATTTTTAGTCCTTATTGATAAGGGATCCATCACGGGAGGAAAAGGACTGGTTATCTCATATAACACAGCTTCTCCAGTAGTAAACATAAACGGCAACTTCATATTTCGCTTTCGTAAATGTTCTGTTCCTTCTTCATCTCTAAAATTGGGGACAAAAAAGTTTGCATATGTTAGGAAGAGTTGTAGCATAAACATTTTAAAAGAAAAACAGCAAGCAAAAGACACTGTAATTGAGTTTGATAGAGAGCACAAACTTAATTTTGACATTTTCCTAATGACAAATGCTATAAAATTTTTTAGACAAATTGAGGTGATTTAGAATTTGCCCCAAAACTTAGTACAATCATTATCCATTCATCTGTCGATGGACATCTTGGCTCTTTCCTCAGTTTGGCTATTGTGGACATTGCTGCTATAAACATCGGGCTGCACGTACCCCTTCAGATCCCTACATTTGTATCTTTGGGGTAAATACCCAGTAGTGCAATTGTTGGATCATATGGTAGCTCTAGTTTCAACTTTTTGAGGAACCTCCACACTGTTTTCCAGAGTGGCTGCACCAGCTTGCATTCCCACCAACAGTGTAGGAGGGTTCCCCTTTCTCCGCATCCCCGCCAACATCTGTCATTTCCTGACTTGTTACTTTTAGCCATTCTGACTGCTGTGAGGTGGTATCTCATTGAGGTTTTGATTTGGATTTCCTTGATGCCGAGTGATGCTGAGCACTTTTTCATGTGTCTGTTGGCCATTTGGATGTCTGGAAAAATATCTGTTCATGTCTTCTGCCCATTTCTTGATTGGATTCTTTGTTCTTTGGGTGTTGAGTTTGATAAGTTCTTTATAGATTTTGGATACTAGCCCTTTATCTGATATGTCATTTGCAAATATCTTCTCCCATTCTGTCGGTTGTCTTTTGGTTTTGTGGACTGTTTCTTTTGCTGTGCAAAAGCTTTTTATCTTGATGAAGTCCCAATAGTTCATTTTTGCCCTTGCTTCCCTTGCCTTTGGCAATGTTTCTAGGAAGAAGCTGCTGTGGCTGAGGTCGAAGAGGTTGCTGCCTGTGTTCTCCTTTAGGATTTTGATGGACTCGTGTCTCACATTGAGGTCTTTCAACCATTTGGAGTCTATTTTTGTGTGTGGTGTAAGGAAATGGTCCAGTTTCATTCTTCTGCATGTGGCTGTCCAATTTCCCCAACACCATTTGTTGAAGAGACTGTTTTTTTTCCATTGGACATTGTTTCCTGTTTTGTCGAAGATGAGTTGACCATAGAGTTGAGGGTCCATTTCTGGGCTCTCTGTTCTGTTCCATTGATCTGTGTGTCTGTTTTTGTGCCAGTACCATACTGTCTTGATGATGACAGCTTTGTAATAGAGCTGGAAGTCTGGAATTATGATGCCACCAGCTTTGCTTTTTCAACATTCCTCTGGCTATTCTGGGTCTTTTCTGGTTCCATACAAATTTTAGGATGATTTGTTCCATTTCTTTGAAAAAAGTGGATGGTATTTTGATAGGGATTGCGTTGAATGTGTAGATTGCTCTAGGTAGCAATGACATCTTCACAATATTTGTTCTTGTGGTATATATATATATGATGGAATATTATGCAGCCATCAAAAGGAATGAGATCTTGCCATTTGCAATGATGTGGATGGAACTGGAGGGTGTTATGCTGAGCGAAATAAGTCAATCAGAGAAAGACTTACATCATATGACCTCACTGATATAAGGAATTCTTAATCTCAGTAACAAACTGAGGGTTGCTGGAGTAGTGGTGGGGGGAGGGATGGGGTGGCTGGGTGATAGACATTGGGGAGGGTATGTGCTACGGTGAGCTCTGTGATTGTGTAAGACTGAATCACAGACCTGTACCTCTGAAACAAGTAATACATATGTTAAAAAAAAAAGAAGATGGGGAAGACGAACCATGAGAGACTATGGATTCTGAAAAGCAAACTGAGGGTTCTGGGGGGATGGGTTAACCTGGTGATGGGTACTGAGGGCACGTTCTGCATGGAGCACTGGGTGTTATATGCAAAGAATGAATTATGGAACACTACATCAAAAACTAATGATGTAATGTATGGTGATTAACATAATAAAAAACAAAAAACCTTTTATTTGGATCTTTATTCCACTCAGAATTTATTTTTCCTGCAGGATGTCAGGGATGTAAACTGAGTGTGGAAATAATGACTGTACTAAGAATTTAGGAATTAACCATCCCAGCCAGGGTGCCCCCCCGCCCCCATGCAGAGCAAGCCAGGATTCTGTGCCCACTTCAGCAGCAGTCACTCCGCAAAAGGTGCCAGAGACATGCAGTCTACACAGGAGATGTTCCTACAGGTTATTCCTTCACAATTGGGCAAGGTAGCTGTTTACCTAATTAGAAAGTCAAAAATGAGAAGACAGAGGAATATGCTCAAATAAAAAGTAGGGCAGGGCACCTGGGTGGCTCAGTTGGTTAAGCGACTGCCTTCGGCTCGGGTCATGATCCCAGGGTCCTGGGATCGAGTCCCATGTCAGGCTCCCGGCTCAGTGGGGAGCCTGCTTCTCCCTCTGACCCTCTCCTCTCTCATGCTGTTTCTCTCTCGCTCGCTCTCTAATAAGTAAATAAATAAAATCTTAAAAAAAAATAAAAAATAAAAAAAAAAAGTAGGGCAAAACCAAACTAAATAGTCTACCTGATAAAGACTTCAAAGTAATGCTCACCAGACTTGGGAGAAGAATGGACAAACTCAGTGAGAAGTTCAACAAAGAGATGAGTCGAATACAATAACTAAAATGAAAAATAGAGATCAGCAACAGAAGATGGGGAAGAATAGATCACAGATTTGGGAGACAGGGCAATGGAAAGCACCCAAATCGAACAGCAAAAAAGAAAAAGAGGATAAATTAAGGGCCTTCTGTGACCACATCAGGCACACAAATGTTCACATTATAGGGATCCCAGTAGGAGAAGAGAGAGAGGGAAAGGGGCAGAAAACATATATGAAGAAATAATAGCTGAAAAATTCCCTAAACTGGGGGAGGAAACAGGCATTAAGGAGAGTCTCAAATACAATGAACCCAAGGAGCTCCACACCAAGATACATCAAAGTTAAAAGCAGCAAGAGTAGCAGCAGCAACTTATATACAAAGGAAACCCCATAAAGGCTGTCAGCTGCTTTTTCAGCACAAACTCTGCAGGCCAGAAGGGAGCATCATGAGATATTCAAAATGCCTAAAGGAAAAAACCTACAACCAAGAATACTCTACTCAAAATTGGAGAGGAAGAGTTTCCCAATCAAAAGTTAAGGAGAATTCATTATGACTAAGCAAGCCTTACAAGAAATGTTAAAGGGAGTGCTTTAAGCAAAAGAAACCAGAGCATAACCAGAAGAAAATTATGAAAGGAAAAAATTTCACTGACAAACCTATAGTAGAGGTTGATCAATCAATCGTTTGTAAATGACTGATTTAACTTTGTTGATTTTACTATTTATTGTTTTTTATCTATAAAATTAGGGAATCAAAAGATGTAAAATATATCAAATACATTAGAGATGGAAGGGATAGTAAAAACAGTGCTTAGACAACGTGTTCAAACTTAAGCAACCATCAACTTAATATAGACTGCTATATACTCGGGATGTTATATATGAACCTGAAGGTCACCACAAACTAAAAATGTATAATAGATACACATACACAAAAAAAAGAGAAAGGAATCCAAGTGTAACACTAAAGAAAGCAATCAAGGGAAGAGAGCAAGAAAATAAGGAACAGGGAATAACTACAGAAACAATCAGAAAACAATGAACAAATGGCAGTAACTACATCCCTATTGATAACTGAATGGCCTAGATACTCCAGTCAAAAGATACCGGGTGACTGAAGGGATAAAAAAACAAGATCCTTCAATGTGCTGCCTACGGGAGATTAGCTTCAGACCTAAAGACAAATTCAGACTAAAAGTGAAGGGATGGAAAAACAAAAAACAAAAAACAAACAGCTGGGGTAACAATACTTATCAGACAAAACAGATTTTAAAACAAAGACTATAACAAGAGATAAGGAAGGGCATTACATAATGATAAAGGGATCAATCCATCAAATAGATATAATAATTGTGAACATCTATGCACCTAGCATAAGAGCACTAAATTATATAAATACTGATAGATCTACAGGGAGAAATTGTCAATAATACAATAGTAGTAGGACTTTAGCACTGTACTTACATCAGTGGATAGATCAAGCAGAAAATCAATGAGGAAACTGTGGCTTTGTATGATATCTTAGACCAGATGGACTTACTATATACACACAGCATTCCATCCAAAAGAAGCAGAATACAAACATGAAACATTCTCTAAGATCATGTTAGGTCACAAAACAAGTTTCAATAAATTTAAGACTGAAATCAAGCATTTTTTTCTTTATAAATCTAGAAATCAACTATAAGAAAAAAACTAGAAAAAAGCCACAAACACAGGGAGGCTAAACACCATGGTATTAAACAACCAGTGGGTCAACAAAGAAATCAAAAAGGAAATGGGAAATTACCTGGAGACAAATGAAAATGGAAACACATTGGTGTACAATTTTGGGACATAGCAAAAGTAGTTCTAAGAAGTTTATGCTGATATAGGCCTATCTCAAGAAACCAGTCTCAATCTAACCTTTCACTTAAAGCAACTAGAAAAAGAACAAATGAAACCCCAAGTTAGTAGAAGGAAGGAAATTAATAGAGTTTAGAGCAGACATAAATGAAATAGAGATTATAAAAATAACAAGAAGGATCATTGAAAATTGATAAACCTTTAGCCAGGAAGAAGAAAAAAAGAAGAAACAAAGTCAGAAATAAGAGTAACAGCCAACACTACAGAAATACATATGATTTAAGAGACTAGTAAGAAAAATTAGATGCCAACAAATTAGAAAACAAAAACAAAAATGAACTATTGGGACTACACCAAAACAAAAAGCTTTTGCACAGTGAAGAAAACCACCAACAAAAGGAAAAGGCAGCCTACTGAATTTGAGAAGATATTTGCAAATGATATATCCAATAAGGGGTTAATATTCAAAATATATAAAGAATTCATACAACTCAACATCAAAACCAACCTGATTAAAAAGAGGACATGAACAGACATTTTCCTAAGGAAAATATACAGATGGCTAATAGACACATGAAAAGATTATCAACATAACTCATCATCAGGGAAATGCAAATCAAAACTACAATGACATATCACCTCACACCTGTCAGAATGGCTAAAATCAACAACACCAGAAATAACAAGTGTTGAGGCTGTGGAGAAAAGGGAACCCTTGTGTACTGTTGATGGGACTGTAAACTGATACAGCCACTGTGGAAAACTGTATGGAGGTGCCTCAAAAAATTAAAAACAGAAATATCATACAACTCAGTAATTCCACTGCTGGGTATTTACCCAAAGAAAATGAAAACACTAATTTGAAAGATACATGCCCCTCGATTTTTATTGCAGCATTATTTGTAATAACCAAATTCTGGAAGCAACCTAGTGTGCATCAATAGATGAAAGGATAAGGAAGATACGGTATATTGCTCAGCCATAAAAAAGAATGAAATTTTGCCATTTGTGAAAACATGGATGGACCTAGAGGGTATTATGCTAAGTGAAATAAGTCAGAGAAAGATAATGTATGAGTTCACTTATGTGGAGTCTAGAAAACAAAATAACACACACACACAGATACAGACTCAAATACAGAGAATAAACTGGTGGTTGCCAGAGGGAAAGGGGTAGGAGGATGGGTGAAATAGATGAATGGGATTAAAAGGTATAAACTCCCAGGTATAATAAATCATGGAGATGAAAAGTACAACATAGGGAATATAGTCAATAATACTGTAATAACTTTATATGCTGTCAGGTGGTAACTACACTTACAGTGAGCATTGCACAATGCATATCACTGTTGAATCACTATGTTGTACACCTGAAACTAACATAACATTGTATGTTAATTATACTTAAAAAATTTTTAGAAATCTGAGTGGGAAAGGTCATAAAAACCCCCAGAATCTCTAAAGGAAAATAGTGGCATAACTGACATAAAAATTTAAAAGCTTGGATGGCAAAAGAATTCACAAATCAAGTCAAGGCATGGAGAAAATATGTCGTATTTATAATTTCATATATATACTACTATAGTGTGTGTATAAATGTATACAATATCCATATTAAGTAAACAGCTCCAATGAGGACCAAGAGAGAGCCAACCAACACAGTAGAAAACAGGCAAATGATTTGAACTGAAAATTCACAGAAGGAAAATGCCCCAGAAAGATATAAAAAGATGTCCTGTCTCATTAGTAATGAGAAAATGCAACAAATAACCTCTTAACAACAGAATAAGCAAATACAAAAATCAAATAATAAAAATATGAACAGCACAAACTAGACCACTGGATGTATGAAGAACACCATACATGCAATAGAACATATATTCTTAATGAAAGCACGTGGGATGTTTTACTAACACTGACCATATGTTAGATCATAAATAAGCTACCACAGATTTCAAAGAACTGAAATCACTCAGAAAATGTTTTCTAACTTCAGTGGAATTGGCCTAAAATTCAGTAACAAAAACACGAGAAAATACCCATCGTATAAAGTACATACCACTATAACTCTAAACAAATCATGAATAGAAAAAACAAGACCTATCAAAACATTAGGGCTGTAGTTGAAGGGAAATTAATAGCTTAAAGAAAAGGTTGGAAATATAGCAATTTATACCCAAAGAGAGTAGAAGGAAAGAAATAATAAGCAGACATAAATGAAGTAGAAAACAAACATTAAATACGAAAAATCAACAAAAGTTGGATCCTTGAGAAGACTAAAAACTAATGGCCTTCTAGCAATATTAAGAGAGAAGGCACAAATTTCTAGTATCAGGAAATATTTCTTAATCACTATAGATCTTACAAAGTAAAAAGAAAATAGAGCACAAAAGAGAAAAATCATCATGTCAATGAATCCAGAGGAAGTATTTGGCAAAACTCCATACCCATTCATGATGATAATATTTAGTAAACTAGAGAGAAGGGAAACTTCTAAATTAAATATATATATGTATAAATAGCAAAAGAAAACACTACTACAAACATTATACTCAACAGTAAAACATTAAAGGGTTTCCCTCTTAGGCTTGGAAGAAGACAAAAATGAAACCTGGTATCATTATTTCCTTTACATTTTACTGAGGGCCTAACCAGTGCAATAAAGGAATTTTAAGAAATAATAAATGTCTAAAGATTAAAAAGAAAAAAAAAAATCACATACATGGTATGTGTTAGAAAATTTGGAATAATCCAGACAAATTATAAGAAAAAGTAGATTTTAGTAAGGTCACTGAATACAAGCCAATATTTAAAAAAATCAATAATTAGCAATTGCTATACACACACATCAAATATCTAGAAGTAAAATTAAGAAAAATACGTATGACTCGGGTAAGAAAAATACAACCCCTTACTGAAACAAAGACATAGGTACATACTCATGTACCCATATGCCTATATACATACATATATTCACCATGTTCACAGGTTGGAAGAATATTATAAAGATGTTAATTCTCCCCAAATAAGCTATAGTTTCAATGTAATGCCATTCAAAATCCCAACAGATACTCCAATGGAAATTGACAACTGATTTCTAAAATATATATGGAAATATAAAGGGTAAAGAACAGAGATGACAATCTTGAAGGAGAACAACAAAAAATCCTCAACAAACATGATGGAGAGCATACATTCAGAGATCAAGATTTACTATAAAGACAGAATGAAGACCATGTGCTGTTGGTGTGAAAACAGACAACCAGACTCATGGAACCCAGAAACAGAACCCCTTAATTAAAATGCAGTGTAGGGGGGGAAAAGATGTCCTTTTCAATAAATGTTACTAGTCACTTGGATATACATATAAAGGAAAATATCCATGTTGATCCTTACCTCAAGGCACATACAAATATCAGCTCTCTAGAGTGGAGAAGATATCTGCAATATGGTATTTGACAAAACACTCACAGAATATATAAGAAACTTAAAAACCACTGCTTGCTTAGAAAGCATATACTAAACACAGCATTCTTCTATATTTCTTTTATTTTACAGATGGCACTAGCTTTTCATCCTTCCTTCATATACCAGAGTAAAACCCTGGCGTTTTCATTGTTTATTCTATTTCTGTAATTCTATATATTTAGTCATTCAATAATGTTTGTCAATTCTATCTTCTCAATGTCCTTCACTTTGCCTTCTTTCTATACAGATTGTCTTTTCAGTTTTTACTTCCAGAGAAAATTCTCATAGAATTTACTTGGAAGTTTTCACATAAGAGGATTTATAAACCATAGTGTTATTAGAAATAAAATGAAGACATGAAACATTTTGTCTGCGTACTTACGTTAGAGGTCTCTGAGTTGCAATGATATAATCTGGTCTTCCATTTTTATACACTAAGCGTGCATTAGACTGAACCCAGGTCCATCGATTTTCTTTGGTAAGAAGTCTGAATACTATCATGCCACTCTCTCCAGTCTTAATCACTAAAATCAAATACAAAAATTATCAAACCCCAAATCAACATATTAAAGAAAGTCTCTGAAACACAGCCCGTCTAACATACTTTTGGATATGTTTCATTTATCACCAGAGGTGGTAAATGTCTTGACAACTTTTAAACACAGTATGTTAAAAAAAATGCATGGAAATAGTTCTTCAGAGTTGATTTTTTTCTATTTCAGACTAAATTTATTATTTAGTAGGTTAAAGGGAAGATTAGGTCAGAAACTCCTGGTAACACATTAAACTATAGAGAGAGTATCCAGTTTGGGGAAAACACAAAGATAAAACTTATCTTATCTTATTAAAACTAACTTATTGCCTTAAACACATTATGTGATATTCTGAAATATGTACTAGAACATATGCCATTTTCCAGGCATGTGTATAAGGAAATATAACTTACTCCGGATATGGTACTCAGCACAATAAAGCATATCAGCAGCATGAATAAATTGATATCCTGATCCTCTCATGCACAACTCTGCTTCAGTATAGCCTAAAACAAGTTTTCCTCTGTTTAGAAAAAAAGGTAAAATAAGAAATTGGTTATATGCCATTTTCTGCACTGTTTTCCTTGACACTCAGAATTTTACATTAGCAGGTAGAAACAATTAACCACATTCATGTAACTGCTTTCTTTTGTTTATGGCTGTTAATGTCAGTTTTAGATGGTTTTCTTCTCCTGAATAAAGAACACGAAAATTAGCATGGTTAAAGAGGAATCTAACAGAATAGATTATGTAAATAAAACAAAATCTTTAATAAAAATGTACAATGCTTATACTCCATTTTGAGGGGCAAAGTTTTTCAAACCTGTCTGCAATCCCATATTAGAAGAAAAACAATGATACATTTTGATAGGATATGAATGCTAATATCCCAGTCTACTTCAGAATTTTCTGAAAGTTACTAAACTTCTAGGGCTAAAAATCAAATAAAGTTTGTATGTTATAAAAATGTAAAACCAACCAACAATAAATGTCATCAGGATACTGAGTCTTAATAATATAAGCAATTCATCTTTATGATACACAAACTGTGACAAGTATTGTAAAAAATTATAAGATGATCTGTGAGCCTGATGAAATTATTTTAAAAGGCTATACTGACAGAGTATGAAGTAATAGCTCACATAATAATAAACATTATAAGCTACACTCTATGTTTTACGTGCAAAGAGATTTACTGCAACAAACATTTAATGAAATAAAACTGCAAAAGTTTTACTTACTTGGCATCACAAGCAGTGGGTGTAAAGTCTAGTTTGTGTTTGGTTCTGAAGATGAAATTTTTGGTTCGGATCTCCAGGATGGATGGTGGCTGAAGGGGAGTCGCTATGGCAAACAAAGCCAACTGAGGTGGTTGTACTGATCCATCTTTGCCTTTCTTGTTCTGTCCATGAAGATACTTTAACCTGCCTTGGAAATTCATCGCCTTAAAAAAACAAAACCGGTTCATTAAAATTAACACTTTAAAACTGTTCATTTCAAAAGGCCTAATCGTGGCCATTTCCACCCTTGGTAATTCCATAAAAGTTCCTGAGGCTGACTGATGCTATTTTCATGCCCTTCTCCACAGGAAGCCCATCACAACAATCCCCAAAGGTCCTACGAACACTATCTTAAAAGGGCTGACAAGGGAATTGTCACAACAAAATTACCTGTGTCACTTTCTGGGCTCACAAGTGCCCTGTCATTCACACCTAGCGTACTAGTCCCCCTCCCCTTGGCATTCAGTACCTACACGTCCTCAATGAATGAACAGTGATAAACTCATTAAGTACACATTAATTTTCAAATTCAGATAAGCTCTAGTCCATAGCTGTCTGTTTCATAACTCATGGTAATCTTTTTTTTTTTTTTTTTAAAGATTTTGTTTATTTTTATTTATTTGAGAGAGAGAATGAGATAGAGAGAGCACATGAGAGGGGGGAGGGTCAGAGGGAGAAGCAGACTCCCTGCCGAGCAGGGAGCCCGATGTGGGACTCGATCCCGGGACTCCAGGATCATGACCTGAGCCGAAGGCAGTCGCTTAACCGACTGAGCCACCCAGGCGCCCCTCATGGTAATCTTTTATATAGAGATAAAATGCAATTTTATTAAAACGCTACAATGAATAATAAAATTCATGTAAAGAATGTAGAACTCTATTAACAGTAAAGGGCACTTTTAGAAGACAGAGGAAACAAAGATAATTTAAATGTGAACATGATCAATTTAATTGCTTAAAAGTGTATTAAACAGGCTGAGGGATGATTCTGATCTCAATATATGATAGCAACACAAAGAAGACAAGACCCAATGATATAAATTCCATCTCAGAAATACGTATTAACTGAACATCAGTACTAGGAAGACTATCTCAAAGCACAATTCTACCTCTGGGTCAGCAAAATTATCTTCAGAAATAAACACATCAACAAAAATCAGTTTGCTAATATTTAAGATTTTATTATCTATTTCAAACTCCTGATAATTCACAAAGGTAATGTGGATCATGCTTTCCGTTCTTTTCTTCTGTACCCAGCGGAATGCACTATCTTAAGGACAAAGACCACTACCACCTCAAGTAGCCTGCTAGAGCTGCACGTTCAGCCTGCCCAACGGCAGCTCACACCACGTGACAATTCTGCAATCACGAATATACAACCATTTTTCTAGGTGGCAGTTACTGTAGCTATGGAGAAAACACCATGATAATTTTTCTGTCTGGCAAGGATTAAATCTGAAGAGGGTAAGCATTCTGTTGCTAAATAGGGCTACAAAGTTCTCAGTCATATACATTAAAAAAGTCCTAAAAATAGGCAAAATACAAGGTTCTATGTTATTTCACTCAGTCTTTGTTACTACATCCTACAAGACTGAGATTTTGAGTTATGGAAGATACTGGAAATCTGAAAAAAGTTATCTTTACTTCCCATTATGAAATTATTTTAATAAAGGACTTTTAAAAATCATACTTGAATCTAGCCAAAGAAAATGGTTTCACTTTTCTTTTTTGCTTTCTGAAAATTAATAATAATTGCCAGTATCATAAGATTTTGCACCTTACCAGAAAACCAGATGAATTATCCAGGAGACATCTGAGTCGGCACACAAAGCTCCTTTCCATAAAGGAAGAGTTTTCTGGAGGAAGCTGGTCTGGGGTGTAACAGCCTACTGCCTGTGGCAGGCCATTAGCTTCTGTAGAAATAATAGCAACATAAATTTATGTGTCATTTTGCTGTATAATCAAGTGTTTGGATAGCTGAAATTTGTGTTAATTTCTAAACTGGATTCTATTCTGAATACAAAAAAGGAATAATCATTTTCAGAAGAGTAGCTTATGAAAAGAAACTAAAATGTACAGAGTATCACTTTTACTACATACTTTATTCAGTTTTGTTTTTATATCTGTTGTCAACAATATCCATATTTTCTAATACTTTTTATCTTAACACTTTCATAGACTTCTAAAAGCATTGTATGTATGTTAATTACACTTCAATAAAAAATAAAAAATAAATTAAAAAATAACATAAAAAAGCATTGCACTGAGACAAATTTTTATATACTTGCATATTCCAGTTTGCTTTTTTATTTGGTCCATTTTACAGACAGAACAATTTATACATACTTGAGTATCAACCTTACATATTTCTTCCAATCTCTCTCAATAGTCTAAGTGATTTTTATAAAATATATTGCTGAAAGGGGCACCTGGATGATTCAATCCCGTTAAGCATCTGATTCTTGATTTCCACTCAGGTTGTGGTCTCAGGGTGTAAGATCAAGCCCTGTGTCTGACTCCGTGCTCAGCAGGGAGTCTGCTTTTCTTTCTCTCTCTCTCTCTTCCTCTGCCCCTTCCCCCACTGACATACTCTCTCTAAAAAAGTAAATAAATTTTTTAAAATCACCACACTATCATTTGCATTCTTACCATCAATTCTTTGTCCAGAGTCTGTACACTGTGAAGGGTTTAATGTCCAGTGTAGCTGACGCTGAAATTCACCTCGGTCTTCAGTATGAATAAGTTCATATACGCTCTGATGTATGATGTCAGACTAAAGAAAAAGGATACAAGGAAACTTTTTTAAAGTACTGATTAAAAAAATGTGGCTCACTGAATTAATTTCAAAATGTAGCTAGATTACTGGGTGCTTGTCAGTGGTGATGAATGCACATCAGATGGTCACAAAGCTCTCCAGTTATCCTGATAGGAAAAGCCAGAGAGAGGGGAGCACTGTAACTGCTCAGCCAAAAGTTATCTGCCATCACTTTCTTACCTGAATGCTTTTCAGTCAAGTAGGTCACCTCCTCACTCCTTAATTGCAACACATTAAATTCTGCTCATTTTTATCCATTTATTGATTTTTTTAAATTTAAATTCATTATGTAACATATAGTACATCAGTTTCAGATGTAGAGTTCAATAATTCATCAGTTGCAATATAACACCCAGTGCTCATCACATCACATGCCCTCTTAAATGCCCATCACCCAATTGCCCCAGCCCTCCATCTACCTCCCCTCCAGCAACCCTCAGTTTGTTTCCTGGAGTTGAGAGTCTCTCATGGTTTGTCTCCCTCTCTGATGACTTCCCATTCAGGTTTCCCTCCCTTGCCCTATGATCCCCTGCATGGTTTCTTATATTCCACAATGAGTGAAACCATATGATAATTGTCTTTCTCTGATTGACTTATTTCGCTCAGCATGATACTCTCCAGTTCCATCCATGTCGATGTAAATCTAAGTATTCATCCTTTCTGATGTCTGAGTAATATTCCATTGTACGCACGCGTGTGTGTGTGTGTCTATCACATCTTCTTTATTGATTTATCTGTCGATGGACATCTTGGCTCTTTCCATAGTTTGGCTATTGTGGACATTGCTGCTATAGACATTGGGGTGCATATGCCCCTTCGGATCCCTACATTTGTATCTTTGGGGTAAATACCTAGTAGTGCAATTGCTGGGTCGTAGGGTAGCTCTATTTTTAACTTATTTTAAATCCTATTTCTTTCACAAAACCATGTCTGAAAATCCAGTCATCTTAGACTTCTCTGAAGCTTAAAAGTATTATGTATTTCTTTCACTATCCTCTAATGATTTTCTTTATATTAAATTTTTACTTCTGGTACACTCCCGAAGAGTAAGGGATTATGCCTTGACCAGCTTAGAATCCCTCCTCCACTTCTTGCCTCTCAGCAAGTCAGACTTTGTGGCAGGGCCAGGTTCCACTATCTACCTAGTTTAGCTATCTAGACTTAAATTTCCCTGTGAATTTAATCTAGCATTAAACCATCTTGATGCCATCCATTACCCAATTGCCACAGTTCTCATCTAAAACACAGACTGCAGCATACACATTCCCTTAACAAAAACTCTTGCAGGTTTCTATTGTATATATGACATAAACTTCAGACTATATAACACTGCAGACACTGCTATTCAAACCAGCAGCCTTGGCATCACCTGTGAGCTTGTTAGAAATGCAAACTCATAGGCCCCACTCTGACCTACTGAATCAGAGTATCTGGAACTGAGGCCAAAGATTTTAGAGTTTTACAAGTGAGTCTTAGACACATTAGAATTTAGGAAATACTGATACATAAGAATAGCTAGTATTCACGATCCAGCAATTGCACTACTGGGTATTTACCCCAAAGATACAAATGCAGGGACCCGAAGGGGTA